CTCTTAGTCTTGTATCCTCCCAAAAGCACATCTCAAACTTGTAATTCAGGTTTTTATCCCCTTAGAGATGTTAGGAGGGAAAGTAGACTTTCATTATTTTTTAAATACTAATTTGCAGAACCAACCAGGCATATGTGAAGTATCACTAACCAGCACTTGTCTTCTCTTTATTCCCATTCCTCTTTCCTTCATTTAGGCAATCTGTTTAGCTCTTCAGGCTAAGTACCTCTTCTCCTGCCAAGATTGTTCAAGCAAATTCAAGGTTGCTATAGCAATTAATAATCATTTTTGTTTTAGGTTACAGAAACAAACTAAAAGAGTGGAGGCACCAGGAGGAGGTGGCAACAAAGAAGTCACAGTTAGAGAAAATGCAAGAACATATTTAGCAGTAAGGGGGATTATCAGTGAAAGCCTCTGCAGTTCCAGAAGAGACAGAGAAACAATATGGAGCAGGTAGCCTATAAAAAGGCTAATGCTTATTTAAACAACGCAGAATTCATCTGAAAAGATGATAACTAGACTTAGTTTGTGTCTGCCATGCAATTCCTGACACCATGTCCCAAACTTGCATTAACTGTCGCACCTTTATTAGAGATGGTTACAATAGTCATCTCTTATACAGTTGCCTTAAAGACAAATTCCACAACCTAGCTTGGATTAACAGCACAAGGTGTTAGCAACAACATCAATGCTATATTTGTTCATTTCTTGATGTTTTCAATATATTTGATATCTCCTCTGCAAGCCCGACACTGCGTAGCTGAAGAAAGATCCTATTTCTAAAATACATTTGCAGAAAAAGACTTGAAAAATAATAAATACTAGAAAAAAAAAAATCACAATTTAAGACAAACATGTTTTTAAAGACTATTTTAAATACTTGTGATATCAGTATATCAACATTATTTTCTATATATAAATGATGAAAAATATTTCCTAAATAGGAAGTATGAGATTAACTAAAAGGAGATGGTGAACTGTTTGATGGTTTTTTTGTTTTTTTTTTTTTTTTTTAAGAGGCAGACAATTGCTGACAAAGAACGAGCACTGAGGTCACGCCAGCAGCTGGTGGTGATAGCAGAACACTTCAAGTATGAAAGAATAAATCCAGAGAAGAATGTGAGACTTGAGGCTAAGGAACAAGAACAAAGGAAAATGCTAGACTAGCTGTGAAGAAAGCCAGAGACAAGCACAATTTTCACTTAGGTGAATAGCTATTATACAGAAATTGAAGTTATTTTTTCCCTTAGTAATAACATCAATATGCCTAGTGTCAATAATCAGGACTCCCATTAGTGCAGTCTGCATTGAAGAGCTGCATTAGGACTTAAGCTACCTTCAGTTCAAGATGCACTGCAGTTCTTTTGCTATTTAATCAGTTTTCCAGCATTTCTCCAAATACCAGCAGCAATTCAAGTACATCTTATGCTCTAAAGCAGTTCAAAGATGCAGATTGGTTTATACTTCAGAAAGAAGCACAACTGGGTTTCCACGCATACGTGAACTTACAATTACCTTCATGTAGTCCATCAGAACAGACTCCAGCACAGCATGCTTCCAGAGCTCTTTCCTATGAGCACCTCAACACACGGAGTTTGTACATTGCATACCAAAACACTGCAAACAGCACAGAACTCTTCAAGGGACGAAAGGATTCATCATGACTGCAGTTGAGCAGGAATAGCTGTTTGCTCTACCCATCTTGTTGTGACATGAAAACATACTGTCTCATAATACGGTATAAGCATAAGCAAAAATTTTCTTTCCCAGCCTGTTTCAAAGCTCGCTCAAAGCCAACTCCGAGGTAAGTCCGGGCTCCTGTCCAGGTTGTGCCTCAAAGGGCAGTGTTACATACTGGCATAAAGCACCAGCTAGCCAGCCATGAGCCTACTGAGTTCACAGGTTTCAAGTCAAAACATCAGCTTTCTAACCTGAGGAAGTCTGACTTGTGTTTTTGGTCCATTTTATCAACAGTTTGCAGGCACAGAGGAGACTCCGAAGCAACATCCGCAATTCTAGTAAGCGCTGCTAATCGAAGCTACTGGACTAGAACACAAAATACTTCTCATCCATAGGTGTTTTGTTATTTTCAGCTACTTGAAAAGCTAGGTCTGAAAAACCACACAGAATAAATAAATACTTGGTATGGGTCACTGCAGTGAGCTCTTTCAGCTAAAGGTTCCAACCTTATTCAAAAGAGGAGCAATGTTTTTCTGTTTACCAAATTGGTGCTGTTCTCATTCCCAAAGCTATTTTCCCAGATTGCAACTATGGTCTGTATACACATCACATTGATAGGAAGTAAAAGCATTCATGTTTTATCAGCCAGTGAAAATTAACCTAGACAGACCATGATAACCTTTATAACCATTTGAGATGCCAGAATACATTTTGCTTATCTTTCGCAGCTTCACCATAGATTTTTGGGCCCACTTCAGTAGAAAGAAGAAACAAAAATAGAATTGTCTTTTTACAAAAGGTATAAAGACCTTATTGCTGACTTTTGGAAGAAACACCCAACTCAATCAATTTATGTGCTATTGTTTCAGAAAAGGCAAGTTTTCAGTATCAACAGTAAGATAAACTATAGCAAGACAAGAACTTTTCTTTGCCAGTCATCTTATTTTCTGCTTGACTAATATTATCTAGTGAAAGAAAATGACATTTGTAGATCCAAATTGTATTGCTGTTCCTGTAGAGTCTCCTGCAAAGAAGAGTAATCAACTCCTGTGATCTCCCTAAGCTGAAGCTTAACTTCACTTGAATTCAATATGCATCAAGCATAGGTTCTAAAAAGCCGGCAAGCATTTAAACATTTAACTTCTAAATCTCATTTTCTTGAATTTACAATTGATTATGTAGGTATAAACGTATTTAAGAAAATATACAAATACTTCAAGCATATAAGCTTTAAAGACCTCCACATGGAACCTGATACCTTATACAGCATTTACCAATGCAGTTTTTACACAGTATAATGAACATCAAGTACATTAACTCATAATTAGAAATATTTAAATTGCTTTAATATTTGAAGTGAATAGCCTCTACATCTTCCTGCTGTTAAGTCTGTTTCTTTTTCCAACATTCACCACTTTTCTAAACAATAAGAGCCAAAAACCACTGAGCAGGAGCAGCTATCAACAGCTGATCTGAGCTTTTCTGATAAACAGGTAAGCACATCAGTGAAGAGAATGCCAAATTTCACAAGCAGGAAGAGATTTTTGTCTATTTCTCTCCAACATACAAAGGAGACTGATGTCCAGTCATGAGCTTCAAATCCATGAATGATTTAGAAAGAGCAATTCAGATCATCTTCTCAGAACAGTTTTTTGGAAATTACTTGATCCAAAGAAATGAAAGAAGAAAAACCAAGTCTTCATCCTCTCAAATTCAAAATGTATGGCTTATTTCAAAGTACAACTTGCAAAAAACAAAGTTCCTTAAAAAGGCACCAATGCACGTGTAGCTTGTTTATCCTCACACTTTACATGAAGCTCTCAGTGCTAATCTTGTAGTCAGAGTACAGTTTCCCTATTATTGCTGTTCCATAAACTGTTGCAACTGCACAGACATTGCCTTAGATCCTTGATGCTTGATAACGGATCAAAAAGAAGTCATTTTGCCACTAGTATCATGTCCACTCTATAAACAGACATGTTTCAGGGGAATGGTATGCAACAGAAAAAAAACCAAACACCTCAGCCTTGAGCTTCATACCACTGAAGCTGCAATAGCATTTGCCAGGAAGCTCTCCTCCATATCCTCTGGTGAGGCTGCGCTTCAAAACTAGAAAACTGATATGGAAGAGCACGTAAATCAGACTCGAAAGAGTAAAGTGAACAGCAGGAACCAAAGCAAGCTGACGCAGCAACAGTGCTAGCATCAAACACAGGGGAACTGGATTCTTTTTTCATCTCCACCTTCAGTTTCCTGAGTGACCTCAGTAAACCACTGTCCCCTGCGCCTCTGTTCTTAATTTGCAGAAGTGGGATAATGAGAACTTGTCTACTAACAAGAGCATTACAAAAATTAAATTAGAGATGATCTGATAGTAATCACAAGGCTGTTTTATTTCTGGTATTCTGAAGAGGGTACATTTATTGTTCTCAAAAAGCAACTGGAGCTAAGTCCAAAGAAGCCATCACAGTGGGAAGAACTGAATTATATAGAATACCTGAAAATTGAAGTCCCATATTCTAACATTTATTAATCAAAAGTTTTAATGTTTTAAAAAATATCAGTGCTACTATGCATACAAAAGTATTAGTAAATAAATAAAATCAGACACAAAGCACAAGAAGGAAAGTTCCTGTACAGCTTTATAGCAAATGCCATAAAAACTGATCACGGACATCTCATCTGCAATTTCTTCCAAGCACTAAAATGCTTTTAAATTAATCTGTCATTCATAAATGAACTTGATTTACAAAACCAAGAACAAGTCCTATCCACCTGCTGAAAAACTGGAGCAGGTACAATGCAGAAATCTTTGCTATCTTGCCCTGCTTATAACCTTCCATATGAGCTTTCACACCCAATCAAAGGTTTTCAAGGCTATTTGGAACCTGCAACTAGCTACAACATGAACATGACCCTCGAGTGAGCTGAAGCATCTCGACACTCCCATGTCATCCATCATAGATAGATCACTCATTAGTACCATAGTCATATGAAATGTAGATATTAAACCCTTGTATTCTCTTCCAAGTTGCATCTTCAGTCTAACTTTTGTGCATGAAGTGAAGCAGTACGTAACTACGTGAACATTCCCTAACAGGACAAGAAACAGCCAGTAGTCTTAAAGAGTCACCTGCTATCCAAACCAGTAAGCATATTGCTTATGCAAATGAAAAAAAAAGTAAATGGTTTTGTACAAGGTATGTTTACAGACCACAACTTTTCTTCTGCCTTCTATGTAGAGGCACTAGACAGGAAAGCCCCAGTTATCTCCTTTCACATTTTTGTTCATTTCCAAACATTTGAAAAGAAAATGCAAATTGTTTACAAAATCGTTTTTCTTGTTTATTTTAAATGAAGCTGGTACAGACAATGTCCATTCAAAACCCATGTCCCAGGCCAAAAGGTACAAACAAGAGTGTCAAAGTAACACCAGTTGCCTGCTGTGAACATTCTTGCATGAATACCTGTGTGTACTAATTGCTATATGAAGTTAAAATGCTTCTGGGCTCTTCTGGCAAGATTTAAGATTCATTAGGGTTTTCAATTCTATGTCTTCAGCAAAGCCATCTCTGGAGCAAGGTACAGATGACAACGGTTCTAGCCTTTTCATTTCCAACTCTGATCTTCTTCGTTGGGCCATCAGCACAATTTAAGCAAAATAGCTCTGAGTTATGGATACATGATTTCTCCACAGTTTAGTTCTGAAAAACTTCATCTCGCACTGAAAGTTATAGTCCAGGAGTGAAACAATCACACATCAAAACTTCAGGGCAGATATGGAAGTCATTAAGAACACTCGCCCACCTGGCAGATCTTACAACCTTCGTGCCTGAAATGCACGAACCTAGTGAACATACAAATGCATGTGTGTACGTGTATTTCTAAAGGGGAGGGCGGAAGGGAAAAGGAGAGCAGGGCTGCAGCTGGATCACAGAAGTTCAGCACAATGGAAACAGAAACAATAGTGTATAATGAGCACGAGAATTTAAAATACCAGACGCTTGAAAATAAACTCCCAGAGATGGGGTGCCAGTTTCAATTCAGTGTTGAACACCACATTACAAAAGAACTATTATTTAAAAATAAAAAAGGATTAAGGGGAAATAAAACAAACAGAAGGATCTAAACTGTTGAGTGACCCCCCGTCTGTTCCTGATAAACTTCAATCACATCTTCCTCCTCCATCCCCAGCTGTGAGAACAGAGAAAAAACAGCACAATTGTTATAAATCTGGTGCACTGAATTCAGAGCAGGTCCTAGAAAAGCTATCTGATGCTTTGTTCTCCTGTCCCATAATTTTTCAAAGGACAAAGGGGTGAAAAAATTTTCAATACCTTACTAGCCAACACTCACAATCTTAAGTATTTTTTCTTCCATCATATACTTTTCAGCACATCTCAGTCAAAGCAATAATCTTATCTGTGAAGTCTAAATCCACTCGTGAAGCAGTACACATCAGCTTGGGAATTACTAGCTTTACTCTCCTCTGAACTCCTTCTCAGGCAACAGATGCACAGGAATGTAACTACCAACACTGTGAATGCATCTGCTGTATAGCCATATGGATTATATACTGCATGCTGCTAAGCATGATACCACTAAGACCGACAGCTTGCAACTCAAAGCCTGTTCACAGCTGTTGTCTCAAAGTAACCTGCTCGTTGTGGAATTCAACGTTTGATTTTTTTCTAGAAAGTCATCATTATATTTCAATGTTTCTTCCTGCTTTATCATAACAATTGGTGGAAGTCACTGTACAGCAGAAGTAACCTGTTTGCTGTTTATTTACACTTCCATCTAATAAATGTGAACAAAATACACGTTTGTTTCAAATTCAAGCTGAAGATCTAGTTCAACAACTGATCAGCTCCCTCAGATTTTTTTTCACTGATGAGCAGTGACTACATCTTTCTTCTGAGGGAAAATTACATGTGAAGGTCCAATCAGTCTTTTTCCTGACCTATGTAGCAGCCTTACTAAAAACTTCAGTCAGACAAGTACAGTCAGACTACATTTAGTCAGATATATTCTAAGAGGTCGGCTATATTTGAAGAAACAAATCAGATTAGTTTAGCAGAACAGATTAACAAATTTTTCATTTAGTTTCTCCACTCAATGCTGTATGCAACACTCTTTGAAAAGAAACTCACCTCCTTCGGGGTATGATTATCAGTAATTCTCTGACCCTCGAAGAGAAACCTGAGTGAGTTCATTGGAACACCCTTAAAAAAAAGAAATGCATAAGAAAAACTCAACTGAGATGTACACATTGATAATACATTTTTAATAAAAACCACACACGTGTAAGTCAAAAAAGAAAGTGTAGTTTCTTGTTACACAGAGAGCTCAGCTATCCTGTTGCTCCCACGTAAACTACCAAGTGTCTTGAGGGGAATAATGGTTCTGAACTGCATAGTTCTTCCAAAGTTACAGTAAAGCTCTTCTAGCTCAAGAACTGGGAAACTTTCTTAGCATTTCCGCCCTCACCTCCTCTAAAGTACCAACTATACCCTCTCTTCCAAGACATTACATGAAGGTGCAGCCTTCTTCTGAACCATTTATCAGCCTTATTAAAGACTAGCATAACATACAGAACGTGTGTATTTCAGGAACTCCTACTCGTGCTTTCACAATCGTATATCACTGTAAGAAAGGATGGTATCCTTTACAGCTACAAGCTCTGCAAAAGCTCTACACTGTGAAGGATAGGGAGCAGAGAAAGGTGCACCCCAAGAGCAAATAAAATGAGGTCCAGTGTACAGTATTCCTCTGTTAAACTCAATACCACACTTCACCTTTGCAACTAAGACAAACATCTAACCTTTTCCTCTTCTTTCATATGCATATCAGCGAAGTAAGTGTAAGTGAAATATGAACTGTTTAGTGCATCAATTACATCTCAGAAATACTGCTTGCAAATTATTAGGCAGAACAACTCATAAGTAGGAAAAGCTTTCCACAATGCTCCAACAATCTCTCTGGGCAGCTTGGAAGAAATGCTTGATGTCCCTCTAGAAGAGAAAGATTACTTGACACCAAAACCAGTGTTGACTATAGATGAAGGAAGTGGGACTCTCCAGCATTCAGCCAGGAGATGGATATAGTTCTGTCTGCTGAAACATGGATTTCTCAGAAAAAAGTCTGCACAAGCATTTCCAACAGTGAATACGACTAACTGCACAAATGATTTCCAGAATCTGCTTTTAAGTTTTCTGATGAATGCCAATTTTAATAATTTGTTCATTTTTGCTACAAAGATATCTGTCGTCTAACCTTTTATCTCCTTCTCTAGTAGGATAGGAGGCCATATAGCAACATTAGTGTACAAAGACACAGAAAATCTAATGCATCATAGTATAAAAAAGGCATTTCAACAGAACTGGCCATACTTTGATGCAAATTGAGCTCATCACTAAAAAGGCTTTTTTTTTTATTTAATAATTTTATCCACTGAATTGAACTTCCATGCAATTGCTCAAGAAAAGGCCATATAAGGCATCTGTCCCCAAAGCTAGGAGTGAAGTAGGCCAGGGCCACTAGAAATAGCATCAGTGAATCCACAGTATCTGCCACAGAACCTGCAAGTGAACATGTATTTTCTGTCCTGGAACAGTAGTTACTATTTACCTGTACCAACCATTAATACTGAATATTTCTTTAGGTTAGGGTATAATAGCTAGCGTAAATTTATTACCATACTTTTGACAGTAACAATGTCTAAGGCTGCCCTCATCCCAAGCCGCAGTATTCTAATTCACGGGAATTGGGACCCAGAAGATTTTACAGTAACTATAAATGCAAGCATGGACATTTTAAAAGATCACTTCTACACCTTCTGATCAGCCACTATACATCCAGTGTCATTGTTTCACAAACCTGTCTTTGACAGTATGATTCTTTGAGTTTCTTGAGGTGTGTTGTCATTTTCACCTTGAAGTGAATTTCACTGCTGTCCTAAGAACAGAAAAGAAAAAAAAAAAGATTATTTTAGTAACTGCTTGCTTTTTCTATGCTCATTTTAAGGGTTTCATTAAGAAAGTCTTACAGAAAAAGTAGCACAGAACATTATTTAACTATCACTGGGCATGATTTAGTGACTGCTAAATCATCTTAGGAGGTTCATCTTATGCACTTACATTCATCACTTTTGCAGGAAGCCCTGTTTTAAAACAGATGGCACAGTATAGCCTTTGGCTCACTACGGACATTTTTGGATTTAGAAGTATTAAATACCATACTCAGCTCAGTCTGTACTGCATCTTTAACCAGCTGACATACTTACAAAATACAAACATACATATGCAGGGGACTTCTGCTCTAAGATTCCACGAGACAAGTTAAAGCTTGTATTTCAAAATATATGCAAAACCTTGTTCAAATAGAGCAATTATCTGGAACTTAGGATACAGGCTGACTTGGCAACATAACATCAACCTAAAGCAAAATCTCAGCTCTCATTATTCTGTAGCCCTTCCTACAAGCAATAAGGTACAATTCACTGCATTTGTCAAAATGCCTGCAGATAAAGTAGACCACAAAAGGTTCTGCACAAACAGTACATGGGTCACACAGCTTTTGAATGTGTTCTCATCATAGGTGATTAAACCAGCAAGATTTGAGTTTATGTTAGCACCAGTTAAAATCATGTCTCCAGTAAAAAACAATTGCACTAATATTGCAACAAATCAGTTCAATCAGATGAACTAATGGTTCTCTGTGGAGAAAGACTTCTGTTCAGAAAGAAATTAGGTATCTATTTAAACAATACAAATTTGGACTTACAACCCAGCACCCATTACCAACAAGTCAATCAACAGAATCCTCTTCCTATTCTTATCCAGTAGGGCTGATCTCACACTTGGTGTATATGAAATGCAAAGACCCAAATTTAAGAGTATGCTATCACACATTGCTGACAATTAGTAAATAGTTTATTTGGGGTCCGGAGGGGAAGACTCACATTGAACAACTTACAGTATCAACTTTCTCCCATTCATTTCAATAGTTTAAAAATTCACACCATCTCCCAGATACCCAGTAAGCAAAAACTCACCTGCCCAATGACTTTGAGTTTAATGTATTCCCCCTCTTTCTTATCTCCTAAGTCCTCAGCTGAAGGCTTTGCTTCCTGCAAGAGAAGCATTCAAAAAAAAAACCCCTTATGATTGAAGTCCAACACTTATTTTCACTAGACAATATGATGCCAGTTACCCTCATCATGTTAAATTCACAGTATTTAAGGTATCTTATTTCATCCTCTATGCGTGAAAATAGTAGCATGCTACTACAATAGGCTGCCTATGTGTGAGAAGTTGATGATGAAAGAAACACCATGAAGAACAAAAGAAGGATCACTGGGGAGCACTGGAACAGGCTTCCCAGAGAGGTGGTTGAGTCGCCATCCCTGGATGTGTTTAAAAACCACTTGGATGTGGTGCTCAGGGACATGAATTAGCTGAGGGTTGTTAGAGTTAGGGTAGCAAAGTTAGGTTGCAGTTAGACTTGATGACCTTGAGGTCTTTTCCAACCTGAGCAATCCTTCGATTCTACGATTTAAAAATAGGTGACAGATGAAAAGATCTGGGAGATATGATTTTATACCACTAACTCAACAAGCAGATAGCAAAAGAAAAAACAAAAAAAAACCAAGTATACCAACAGACTCAGACACTTGACAAAAAAAGGACAGCATGAGTAAATAAATACTCATAACTCCCTACCAGTGTAAAGGCAGTGAACCACACAATACTTTCCCATCTTTCTACTGCATCAACAGCAGTTACTACTTTCAAAAGGACAGTAAGCCACCTTCTCCTATGACTACAAAACAACATTGGTTAAAAGTTTCCTTCTAGTATGTTTGTTACAAGACTAACTCTTAAAAATTTAACTTTTACTTCTAAGAACTACATTGCTTTGGTATTTCTCCAGGATAAGAATTAATTGTACAGGAAACTTTGACTCAACATTTCAAGCAGTAAAGCTCTTCAACTTACGTGCTATATTCTATAAAGCATGAATCAGGGACATCAAAGTTCTCATGTTAGCTGCTGATAAATAAAGTAAGCCAAAGAGCATGCAGTACTAGCCCTATCTCTTTTCCCTGCCACTACGCATTTGGATCAGGGCTTCAGTTATGTTCCATTACAACACAAGGGATCCCATACAGACACCACCACAGGTCCAGCTGGTACTCAATCAAAAAGCCTTCCCAAGTAATCAGAAATACAGACTTCCTGCTGATCGTGTTTCATCTTTTTCATTCTACTGCTTAGCACAGTAGACAAAATGAGTAGAAAGTTTACATGTATCTAATACATGTCTTCCCAGTCATAAAGGTGATTTTTACTGAGTACATACAAATATCCTTTGTATGCCTGAACTTAACATCTATACAACACCTACATATTAAGGCCATCCAGATAAACCTCTCTCTCCGTATTAAAATGGTAGATGAACCTTTCTGAGCATCTCCTGTCACCCTCCCAGAGGTCAAACAAGCACAACTACATACTTTCCAGTGGGAAGTGCCCCTGCCTCTAGCAGGGGGGTTGGAACTAGATGATCTTAGAGATCCCTTCCAACCCAAACTGTTCTATGACTCTATGATAACAACTTGCAAAAGGGGAGGAAGCCTGTAACTACCTCCCCTATGTGCACTACTTAATCTGGACGAACGGAAAAAGAAGACCTCTGTTTAATTTTGAATACTGCCTCAAGCCCAATCCATTCCCTTTTTGCAGCATCAAAAGCCATAGACTCCACCTGGCCTGATATTCACCCAGGCCCAATCTAGACTACTGGGATTGACATATCACCCTCAAAGATCAAATAAAAAAGATTAACACCAAGCCTTCCAGGAACTGGACGCTCTCAAGTCTCTGAGCAAGTCACTTTGGACACGTGAAAGAGAGTCTTTACCAGTAACAGTCTCAGCAAGCAAGCTTCCCACCTAAGTTTTCCCTTTCTAACACAGCTGAATTCTAATCTCATGGACTACTTGCAGGAATAAAAATATGCTGGCTTTCACTCCTGACTCACAGAGTAAAAATCAGAACCAACACCTGTCCTAATTGCTTGCACAAACAGCATTTTTATTGCCTATGTGTATTGCCTAGGATTACTAGCCTCAAGGAAACAAAATGTTTCAGTTCTCTATAGATACAAAGCACGTAACAAATTTCTCCTGTTTGTAGGAGAATTTAAGACATCCCCTCCTTTCAAAGGATCAGATCAGTCACTGCCTTAGCTTACTTCTGCATAAGAACTCAATTGCACAGCAGCATATTATCCCAAAATAAGTATTTGTATTTGTTCAAACACTTCATTCTAACATTTACCTACTTAGCTCCTATAAACAAATCAGCCTGTAAAAAGTATGACAAAGTATTATTACTACTGTAGCAGCACCTCTGGCCAATACTGCTGGAAATCAATGATTCCTAAGTTATTTGTTTTCTACTCACAGGGAAAGAAGACTCAAGTACTAAAATCTAATAGGGAGAGCAGCAAGCAGTAGAGAAAGCAGGAATTAGAAAAAGGGAATTAGAGTCCTAAAACACCATACCATTAAGATGCTTGTTTAAAGCCCAAGCAGCTTATCACCCACATCACAAAAATCAGTGCTGAGACAGAACTTCAGGAAAAGAAAAACAGGGTCAAATCTATGTTGACACAAAAATAAAAATAAATAAATAAAACAATGCAAAAGGCTTGAAATCAATACAAGACCTTGCAAAACACCTCTCTGCATCTTGTCAGTGCTAACTACACTGTTATTCAATGCCAAATGGTAAAGCCCAGCAGAAAACCTCTTAAGAACAAATAGAGCAAGGAGTAAACAACTAGCATTTACTAACAAAACCCTGGATCACCAACCCACCAGCTATCCCCTAGACTTTCACTTCCACTGTGAACAGGAATGATGTTACTCTTCCACCATGAAATTCTACATTAAAAGAAAAATAAGCACACAAACAAAAGAAGAATACCCCAGTTCTAACTTTCCATTAGATCTCCAAGGTTTTATAGAGTTTTTTCCATAGTCAAATCTATTTCACCTATAACTAGGTCATAACACAGTTAAACATAGCCAAAAACACAGTCAAACCCTTTTCACCTAAAGAGCATGAAGTGAGGCCCCTAGTACTGTCTCACATTTGTGTCAATACTGAATTCATGACCTTAAAGCACCCAAAGCTTCTTGGATGAAATGTACTAAGTGTGCCAGGAATTTGCTGCTATAGCTAGCAGAACCACAAAACAAGTATTGTAAGCTTGTGTATTACAAATTTCCTCTTCCAGTTTTCTCAAGTGCTTAGACTTTACTGTCTAAACATACCCAGATACTTCTACCTTTTTAAAAAATCAAAATTACAGAATGCATACAATTGCACTACGCTTCATAATCCAGCCAATGAACTCTGACGTTTGCTACAGGAGTGAGAGAACGTATAAAATTGTGCCACAGCATTCCATTTATGGTCCAGGAAGAGACAGACACTTGTGTTCAACTAGAGCAAAAACAACCCAAGATGCTTCAGAGAAGGGAACAGATTTTCTCTTCTGCTTGGATCCCACCAAGCAGCCACGTGCTTTTTGCAGTTTGCCTATTTTACAGTAACTTTTACAATAAGAAAGTACCTATCTCCTTGGGAATAAAGTTACTAAATCAAGCATGTTTCTTGATTTATACTAGAAGGATGGGTCAAAAGCATAACTACTGCCAAATGGCATCCATCCTCTTAACTTAATTTCAGAGCCACAAGGAAGACACAGTAAGCAATGTCCAATTTCAGGCTGTAGCAATTGAACAGACAATACAATGGGAAAGGTGTTACTACAAAGGTGTGATGATGGAAGGACCAGCACAATAGAAAGGTGCTGTAAAGGAAGTGAAGATTGCTCCCCTGTATTAGAAGATTCCAGGTTCACAGAGGAAAGCTTCACCAAGGAGGGATCTCCAGAAAGAAACCTTTCCCCAGTGGCAGTCAGCCCTTAAATGGGTCTAGGGGAGGTGCAGCCAGGATCAACCCTTTCCTGTCACACAGCTGAACTGCCTTCACATGTGCTTTCAGGGCTGACCAGGTCCCTTCCCCAGGTGCTCAACCAGAGGTTCAAGCTGTGACTCAACAATTCCCATACAGAAGCAAATTATTCTAGTTGATATTACTTCACTGATTACTTTGATAAACAAGGGAATAAGGTCTACAGCTCTGCACGCTGTATGGTTACTTAGGCAGTTGTTGAGCTCTTGCTGCAGTCTCCCCAGTACAGCGACATGTATATGACAATACTTAGCTTAACTATTTTCAATAAATCAAAATGGGCTGTTATTCAAAGACCAAAAAGGTGATCCCATATAGGAAATTTTACATACTTCAAGCAGTTCCAAACATGTATGTGCTTTAGCAGGACTGGGCTGGAGAAGGAATTACTTAATGAAAGCTGCTATGTGTTAAAACATGCCTTAATTCACAAATGCAGAGCACTACAGAATGGGTCACGTGAATTGCAGCCTACAAAATCTAGTTCAGAATTTGTGCTTTCTGTCTACACAGCCACTTTCCTGCAGTTCCCTGCACTGAAGATGTGCCCTAACCGGTGCCAGCAACAGCTGCACTCACACAGAGAGGCAGGAGCATCCTCACCAACACAGCTGCACAAGGCTGAAAAGCAGGGGATGACCACCAGCACATACAGCAATAATTTCTATTCACAACCTATGGAGGCTATTCTGCACAGCAAATACAGCCTATCAAGTTTTGAATATCTGTAATTCCCTGGCTGGCACCGGCACTATTCTTGACTTCACAGCATCACAAGAAACATTTGTAGATACTAACATTGATTTTTCAGAATTCAAACGATCGTGACAAAGTTAGAAAACACTGCCATATGAAAGTACTATAAATGATAAAGTCAAACAGAACACAGATTGGAACTGGAACGCTGTTGTAGCTTCCAGCCAGCAGGTCACACAGCCTAACGCGACGGATGCGAGCAAAGGGCTCTGTGCGCGCCTGCCGAGCGAGCCAAGAACTTGCCGTACAAGGAACTATTGAAGTCCCCGGCTGACGGTCAGAACTGACAACATCACGGCGCACCAGCGGAGGCAGGACAGGGTCTGGGTGAAGGACCGGATGTTTAATACGTGCAAACAACGCTGAACCGGGCAAGTCAGAGTTCACCTCCCCCCCCCCTTTCGCGTTCCTAAGGCAGCCGGGGGCCCCGGCAAGCCCGGCCCAACCCGCGGAGAGCCCGCTCCATGGAGCAGCATCCCACCGCACCGCCGGGCAACCGCAACGAAAGGAAAGGAAAGCAGCGGCTGCTGCGGGCGCCGCCCCCCTCCCCGAGCCGCAACCCCCCCCCACCAGGAGCGCGCCCCGGGGCCGGCCCCGCTCCCAGTGCCCCGAGCGGGGCGGGATGGAGGGATTCACCCCTAGCGGGGAGGGAACGGACTCGGAGGCAGAGTTCGACCGAGCCGCGAGCCCCTCCCCCCCCCCCCACACACACACACACACCCCGCTCCCCGACGGGCCCCCCCCCCCCGCCGTCCGCCGGGGGCGGGCGGGGAAGGGGGGGGGGGGGCGGAGGGAGCGGCTCCCGCCTCGCGCCCGGGCCGCGGGGCTTCGTAGACGCCGCTCCCCCCGCGGCCGGGGCTCCCCGCGTACCTGGTCCGACATGGCTGGGCGCGGGGCGGGCGGCGGGCTCGGCTGGGCCGCTGCGGGGCTCGGCTCCTTTCTCTGCCCGCAGCGCAAACACAGGCCGCGGCGCGGGCGGGATTTCCTGTGCGCCTGAGCTCACTTCCCGCCGCCGGCTCCTCCCCGCCCGAGCGGGGCTCGGCTCTGCCCGCCCTGGCTCGTTCCGCGTTGGGACGCGGGGCCCGGCCTACTGCGCTGTTGCTTATCGGCCGGCGCCGCGCTAGGCCCGCAGCGGACGCGACACATATCGCGGGCGGTGCGGCGCCGACGGCCCGTGTGCCGGGCAGCGGGCCGGGCGGCACTGCCGCCGGGGGGAGCGCGTCAGTTCAGTAACGCTCCCGACGCCCTTCCCCCAAATCGGCTTCAAAACGACGCAGGGTACCAACAATAAAACAAACCTCACCCTATAGGCCGTTGCTACTCACAAGCGAAAGCACAGCTCTAAATGCAGAAGGGTAGCCGTATACCGGTGTGGCTGTAGCGTAAGACCTGAGCGTAATTCTTAACGTTACCCATTTTCTTAAACAGTTCTGCAATAAAAGCGCACGCTCGCACAGCTGCCTGCCCCCATACAGAACAAAGGCTCGGCTCTGACACGTGCACGGCCGCACACACCGCGCTGACTCGCCGCTCCGCCTCGTTAAAGAAGTCGCGGCCCCAGGGCACGAGCTGCGTGCGCTGTCTGCGGAGCTGCTCCTTGACCTGTGAGAAAGATGGAAACGCATCAACAAGCCCACGCTCCTCTTCTTTAGCTGTGTAGTGTAAATTCAGTATACTGTATATTTACAGTTAAAACACTACCACACTGCTTTAAAGAAAACAACACGCACACGTAAGGCTCTTCACAGAACACTCAAAGCCATCGTTGCTGCCATTGCTCAGGAATTGAGACTATTGTGGGAAGTGTTATAACTTCCTTGATTCTGCAACTAAATCTCAGTCACCTGGAGTTGGTGAGCTCCCCTTCATGCCCTCAGGTTGAGGTGTAACTCTGTACTCAAGGCCATGGATGCAGCCAAGCAGAGAAGGGCTGCAGCGCTCCCGCTCAGAATCTGTGAGAAGCCTCTTTAACCTACCAAACCCAGTTTTTTTAACGTTAAATATACCTAGTTGGCTCTTAACGCTGGCACAGCTGCTCAGGAGCAGGTCATGCTGGTAAAAAGGGTGAATATAACGTTCCAAACGGGGCTTTGAATGTAGGCGACAACGACCTCCTGAGGTGAACGTTGCTTCTTTGATAATGCTATTAGTTACAAGGCTTAAGTATTCATTACAATATCGAAAGTAAAAAAGAACTCCCACGGCAAAAAAAAAAAAAAAAGAAACACTCTTTGGAATAACGCGAATCCCCGTATTTCAGGCTGCTGGCCTCCTAGCGCACCCCTTACACAAGCACAGGGCAGGAAACACAGCGTTGCTGACTCATGGGGATGATTGCATAAAAGGCAGTAAGGCACGGCAGCACCAACTAGGGTGCAACAGCGCCCCCTCCCGGCGGGCAGGGAGAGCCGCGCGTTCGACGGCAGCACAGGCAGCTCCGAAAGCAGCAACGGGAGCACAACAAAAGAGGGACTACGCTTAGCTCGTACCCACTGCGCGGCCCTCAGTCGCAACACAGCCCAGTAGGCTACTACTTATAGGCAGAAACTTGCATAGCGACAGCCAGACTTTCAGCTCGCTACCTTCGCGCAGCCACTCCCGCTAAATGCCCGCCCCCATAGGCTAACGGTTATACATGCAGCAGCCCCAGCCCCGCCCACTGCGCGCGCCCGCCGCGCGCGCCTCCCGCCACGTGGCCTGTAGGAGCGCGCGCGACGGGTGGCCTCAGCGCTTCCCCTACCGGTGAGGTCACTTCCGGTGCGCCCGCTTCCTCTTCCGGTGCGCGCGTGCTTAACCGGGGGGTACGGTGCGTGCGCGCACGTGGCTGTGCTGCCGCCGGTCGCCCCCGGCCCTGCTCTGCTCCGTTGTCATCATGTTGGTGCTGTTCGAGACCGCTGCTGGCTACGCCATTTTCAAGGTAAGGCATCGGTGCGCGGTCCGAGGTTAGTGAGGCGGCCGCGCCTCGCGCCCGGTTGGGGCCTGGTGGGCGGCGCGGAGTTGCGGCGTGTCCGTCCTGGGGAGGGGAGTCGGGTATTGGTTAGTGTTCTTCGTCGGACCTGTGGCTTCTGCCCGTGGCAGCCGAGTTAGCGGGAGCTGGGGGGGAGGCCCAGAGCCCGCATTGCGGGTTGTATGGAGGAATGTGGGTAGCTGCTCCAAGGTTCTAGGCTTTGGCCTATCGATCTGCTGCTTTGTTGTTAACAAGAGTTTTATTTCAGTGTGGAAAAAAAAGTAACTAATGTGGTGGTGAGTCAAATTCAGTGTAACACTTTGTTTTTGCATAGTAGTGCTGAATGTCAAGCCCTGTTTAGCTAGGTGGTGGAGCGCAGGCTTTGTCCCATTTTGCTCTATGCTGTGCGGTCTCACCTCAAACACTGCGTGCAGGTTTGGGCACCACAATGTAAGAAAGGTATAAAGCTATTAAAAAGCATCTGCAGAAGGGCAGCAGAGATGGGGAAGAGGCTGGGGACAAGATGTGTGAGGAGCTGCTGAGGTCCCTTGGTTTGTTCAGTCCAGAGCAGCGGAACTGAGGGGAGGCTTCATGGTGGCTGCAGCTCCTTATGGGGAGCAGAGGGGCAGCGCTGAGCTCTGCTCTGTATGACAGCGACAGGACCCGAGGGAACGGCATGGAGCTGTGTCAGGGGACGGGCAGCTGGGGGTCAGGGAGAGGTTCTGCACTAGAAAGCACTGGGCATGGAACAGGCTGCCCAAGGAAGTGGGCACGGCCCTGAACTGCCGGGACTTCAGAATGTGTTTGGACAGTGCACGCGGGCAGAGGGTTTGACTTTCGATCCTTTGTGGAGCAAGGAATTGAATTCAATGATTTTTGAGGGTCCCTTCTGACTCAGGAGGTTCAGTGATTCTATTCAGTAATTCTGCAGGAGTCAGGAGGGGCTGTAAACAGCCCATATTTAAGCCAGTGAAACCAAGGTTGGCTTAAAATAAAGGCAGTAGAGACGCAGAATTGAAGAAACTGCTGCAGAAGTGTTGCTGCTGACGTCAGCAGCTGCGTGCTGGGCCCAGCTGTGGTGTCCCTGCCAGGCAGCAGAGGGCGCCAGGCAGCAAGCTCCAGCATTCCTTTGCAGACTTTAAACATACCCTGGTAGAGCAAACTGCGTTTGTGTCTGGGTTGAATGCAAGAGAGCTGGAAGCTGTCTGTTAGAACCGAGCGTAATTAACATTTTATTAAGATGTGTATTTGGAGGCATGTTTTCTTTTTCCACACTTGTTCTGTTTGTAACTGCCCATGCACACTGCACATGTACAGGACAAGGAAGAGTATTCCTTTCCTCCACACACTAGCTGCAAGTTTATGTGATTGTCATATCTGTATGTTTGTTCTGTATCCAAGTATTCACTATAGTGTTTGGGTTTTTTTAGACAGCTTCTAAAGATAGTTACTGTTTAGTTTGTTTCTTTAATTCCTTGAGAACTGAAGAGAATTTAGGTTTCAGAACTTTTGGAAACAGTTGTCACCCGCTTCTCTTTTCAGCAGTGTTCAGAAGCTATCTGTAGCCAACATAACTGTGCTCTGCCTTTATGCTTTGGTGAACAGAACCATCTTCCTTTGCAAGCTGAGTGGCTCTTCAGCATTCTCTTGTAGGTATTGCTCCCATCACAGGAGTGAAGAGTGTGTAAGAAGTAAAGGCAAGTGTTCTAGTTCTTGGAAGTCTTGTTCCAATGTATCTCAGTATTTGGTGGGACGTAAAATGCCCATAGGCAGCCATAATTTCTGTATACTAGCAACCTTGATTATTAGCTTGTATGCTTGTGCTTTTCTTGATGTCTGTTTATAGAGACAGAGAATTCTGTGAGCTTCAGGGTAGGAAGGACTAACCCACTCCATATCAAAGATGAATCCAATCCAAAGAAAAGAGTCAATAGGCTGGGGAGGGGGAGATGTGCCCAAAGGTTGTCTTGTGCTTCAGAGACCCGTGGGAAATGAGTCATCATGTTTATTTGCTCAGCATTAATTTAGAAAAAATAAAGAAAGAACCTCCTTTGACTTCAATTTAAAAATCTGCAAGGGTGCAAGAACAATTTTTGACCAAGTCAAATTGTAGTTGTGCTGGAGCTTGTCACAACTTAAATCCAGCATTTTTACTGTGGTATAAAGAACTTAAAGTTATAAGGATCTTGCTGGTGCTGTTCCCCTGAGCAATTTTCTAGGAATTTGCAGTACACTCAGCATTTTGTGAAATGTGTGCAGGGTCTAATGGCATAATTGTTATCCTTTTCCTGTTCAAATACTGAAAGGGAATCCCCTCTGACCAGAGATGGGATTAAGCCATTGCTCAGTCTTAAGCAATTTTAACTCAAATGATTACTGAGGTGTGGTGAAAAGTCATCCCTACTGTGATGTCCTTTTTTCCTTGGGCTCATTTGGATTCATGAAAATAAGGTGTGGGATCACTCCTTCCTGTGAGGTGTCCCAGACGTGTTTGTATTTTCCCAGAGTAGAGACAGGTTTGGTTTTGGGTCACTGGGGTTGTGAATGAATCCTTTAAGAGGTGGAGCAAGACCAGTTTTGATAAACAAGGAGAGGGCTTTGCTTTGATGGTGCAGGTTCAAAAGGACCTAGCCATTGTTGAGCAACTTCTATAATGCAGTTGAAAGCAAGTGTAATTCTGTAAATTCAGTTGCATTCCGAGTGGGATGAAGATGCTGAGACAGAACGGTGAGACTGGAGATTACCATAATTGCATTTGTTGACTCAATTTGCAGTAACTTCCAGTGGTAGGATGTGCCATGAATCTGTGCCAGGACATCTCTACTGAATGCAGGTTTGAAGGTTGTTCAGGAGTGCTTTAATATACTTGTGTTTTGTTTGTTTTTTTTTTTGTCTGCAGGTTCTGAATGAGAAAAAACTCCAAGAAGTTGACAGTTTGTGGAAGGAGTTTGAAACTCCTGAAAAAGCAAACAAAATGTAAGCAGCCTGATGTGGGGGTGACAGCCTGACTTTAGAAGTACATTGCTG